TATGCGTTAAAAATGTATCTAATTACATGACTTTTTCGGCCCCCCATACTTTCAAAAAATTTTGCTCTGAGTTACTCCGATTTTACGATTTACGTCTCCATGCTCTGGACCTCCTCGCGCCGCCACTGATCCTGATGTCCTTAAGACATTGAGGACGAATTAAATATGCCGGAATGCCTTATAAAAGTAGGCTACTACGCAAAATATTTTATTTTAACGTGTGACAAACTTAAATAAGCAAGCAACAGATTAAAAATAAGACTTACACAATACAAATAACCTATCATGAGAACTAATCAGAAACAGTCTTAGAACCTTGAGGAAACATGGTTTTCAGAAAACCTTTTAGAGTTATGTTAGATTATAAACTTTTCACATCAAACCTGCCATTATGCCAATATAAGTTGCCAAAGGCAGGAGACTGCCAAAGTGGCATATGAGCGTTACTTTGTAGGTTTGTAGCAAGCAAATGTGGTTACTCGATTGGCTCAAAACCGCCATTATGAGTACGACAGTCAAGTCACTATAGTTGTCAAGGAAACAATACAGCTAGAGCACTTTTCTCTATCGATTTGTTTTTGCTGGAGATGAGTACGACTCAGAGTGTAGCAAGAGTCTCGATGCATTTCCGGTGCCTTGAATGCAACTACGTGATTTATCTATCACTACATAGACATCAAGGCGACTAACAGTAAAAAAGATGAGAAAATGCACCTAACGTGTCTTCATTACGCGCAGTGGATGCATTTTAAAGTCATCAGGGTGGTTTATCAAGACACTTTTTTCTGACAGCGTAGTACTACAGTCAAACTAAATTCTATACCTACGTACGTTGTACATGTCAATATAAAATTCCTAAGTAGGAATAGACGCCGTTTTGACTTGTATGTCAGTTGATAGATCAATAACTTCTGAAGTGTATCTTAGATGGGAAACAAATATTTCTGCCAAACTTCGATTGTCATCTAGATACTCTCAACTAAGACACATTAATAAAATACGGATTGTATCTCAGTTGAGAGTGAGTTGAAGTGAAAATAGTGAGAGTCAATGATGAATTTTTGTTCAGAAAGTTTCACTTGTTTGACCAAGATATATGATGTTCTTAGTATACATTTTTTCGATATTACAGTGACATCAGAAATGGTTGTTCTGTCATCTGCGATCGAAATCGTTTATTTATTTAGGTGAACTGCATGACCATTGCATGACTACCTTTCAGTAAAAAGTCTGTTAAAAAAGTTAAATTGTACATTAGGTGGTACAAGTTCTCAGAAACAAACTGATTCTATTTTTCTTCTATGTTTTTCTCATATATAGTAATCCTTTGAGGCTTAGGAACTATCTCTCACAAAAAAATTTGAAAAAGTCCAATGAGCAACTCAATAGATAGGGAATCAATGAATATATAAAGCAAGTCTATTTTAGATCAGGTCTGAAGGGTTTTATCTCGATCTATGTTTTAGTACTAAAAACGATTTTTCCCGTGAAAAGCCAAAAAACATTGAGACTACTTTTCGGGTAAACACTGCACGTTCGGTGAATAAAAATGAGGAAGAAATTACGAAAAAAGGCTATTGGGACAAAAAGAACTACTATATATGAGTGGTACTAAAAATGTTTAAAGATGGGACACCGGTATGTAAAGAATAACATGAATCTTGTTCTTTTTTGTATGAGTGGAGCATCATTAATGGTGTAAACACAAATAAAATTATTAAAAGTATTTCAGTTTAACATACGTCATTTGTTAAATTAAAAAATTAAATGATGAATCTATTATTGTTACTCACACTTGTTCAATTCCGCATTTTCATTATCATATCTAAATACAAAAGAACAAAAAATGAAAATATTCTTTTAACACGAATTAGATTGTTTATAAACTGCAATGAGAATCAATCCCGTTTAGTAATATAAACATAGCGTGTGCATTATCTTTATATATAGATGATCTGTTTGTTTGCCACAAGGGCGTCCAATGTTTACATTTTCTTCTTTTTCTTTACAACTAAATTGGAAATTAGAAAAAAAGAACCCATTTCTTATACGCTATATCGTGTCGTGTGATGGACATTTATTTGACGCTTAACATTGTGCAGATCTCACAAACAAAATAGTAAAACCATCTAATACTTCTCTTTTCTTTTTTATTGTATTTTACACTAATTACTGAATTTGTATCCAATAGATTATTCTTTCGTTTTCTTTCATTATTTCTAGTGGTCGACTTAATTTATTGTTTAAGAAAAAAGCGATGAGAGAAAGAAGGAGAAACAAGGAGGAACAATTATTTTGTATAATAGATGAAATCGACGAATTTAACGAATAACAAGGAGAGAGAGAGAGAGAGAGAGAGAGGAAAAAGGTAATTTTCTTTTAACTTTTTTAAGAAAATATTTATATTCTCTATCCTCTCTTTGAAATTAATATTCATTTATACTACTAACATGATAAAATTTAAAGTTCTCGATTGGTATGAGAATTTTAGCTTCATTTAGTACAATGAACATAAAGGTTTCTATTTAATAAATAAATGTCCAGATATATTTTAAATAGATTAGATCATATTGAAACACAGAGAGTCATTCTATTCGACATGTTCTTTCTATGAAGTCAGCAATGAAGGACAGACAAAACAGTGTTAAAAAAACAAGCTCATTTACACTAAGACGTTATGAAAATCGTCTCAAAATGAATATATATGTATATTTTTTTGTTGATTGACATACTTCGCAAGTTATTCAGATGCTGTCGTGACATATTATTTTTTGTATGGAGTACCAAACCAGGGCATCATCATCATCATCATCATGGTTATTTTATTGACGGTAACATTATGTGGTCAATTTTTATTTTATCACACACAATTGAGAATTTGATGGAATGAAGAAGTCCGCCTACTATTTCATATTGAATTGAATAATAAATGTCCCATGTTGAATTGATCTTCTCAAAAAAATTGCCAATGTCAATGTCAAAAAAAAAATGAGTAGACGAACAAAATTCTAAACAGTAAAAATTCATTTATGTTGTTGAAATGTGTGCATATTAAATCGATTATCATTGAACACACGCAAATTATTTAATTATAAAACAGAAGGGTGGAGAAAACATATGTTCGAGAATTGATAAAGGTTTTATCTCTCACACAATTTTTGGACATAGTCGTGTAAAATACTCATAAAGATACATTATAAATAACTTCAAAAGAATAATGTGGATTTTTTCGTTTTACTAAACAAAGAAACTTAAAATGTAAAAACTCTATGAAAATAGTAGAATATTAACAATTCATATTCTCTTTGAAATTGCTACGTTACGGTATTGACAAATAATGTTTTCCTTGCAATGTAATCATTAATAGTTTTTATAGGTTAATAAAAAGGTTTTTTTTTGTTTTATTTTTTGAATGAGCAAATATTCACCAATGTATCAACTAAATTAATCTATACGACAATATATTCTCTCTCTTACACTTGTCAAATGAAGAAAAGAGAAAATTAATCATTATGTGTTAAAACCTTACCTATTAAACGATTACATCATTTTGAATTGACAAGTCTTAAAACGAGGTAAGAAGAAGACGAACGATCAACAAAAAAAAAAAATATATATATATCTATATTATCGAATATAACTCAAAGTAAACTTTATTCATGTATAACGAAAAGGAGATTTTAATCAAATTTTCTTCTTCTTCTTCTTCCTCATTTATTTATATCAGAAGTGCTTATGAAGATAAGAAAGAATTGACAAGTACAAAGCATGTTTAAACAAATTAATTATTAACATGACGTCGAATAACCTTAAAGTAAAAGTTTTTTCAATTTCTTAATTGAATAAGAGATGCGGTGTCAGTATAAAAAAAAAGACGAAAAAAAAATTTTCTGACTTTATGGAATAATGCTTATATAGCTTACTGTATTATATTTAGATAAAATAATTTTATTTGTATTTAAAATTTTAAAGTTACATGAAATCATGATACTCAGCTTTTTGTGAATTTTCATAAAATTTTGACTCGATTCAAACTGTTTTCACGCAAACACAAACGATATCATCCAGAGAGAGAGAGAGAGAGATCTGATTCCTACCTATCGACTGATGTCAAAATCGCTTCAATATTAATTAGTATTCATCAGTTTTTAGTTCGTAACTATTAACTGGCTATAATTACTCCTTCTACTCTATATTTGGAAAGAATAATAGAGTCATTATTCATTTTAATTATCTTGATAACTGACCCACTCTCATCTTGTTCTCTTGTATGTATGTATGTATGTGCGTTGTTGTTTATAGATACGTCTAAAATAGGATATATTATTAAGAAGTAAATGTAATATTTCACCTAAAGACATCTAGGATCGATCGATCGTTTAACAAAGAGTTTTAACTTTATTTTATTCAAAACAAAAATCATTTACATATTGTAGTCATCGTCATTAATCGCTTGATTCATATTAAATGAAGATATCAAGCTGTAAAGAGTGAATAGAATAGAATAATTAAATGTTGGGTTTGGACTGATTTAGTGTCGATATTTCGAATGATGAAGAAAGTTGATAAGACATTAATAATGGAGATAATGCATTAAGAAGAAAAAGTCACTTTAACTTCATAGAAATGAAGTCTCCTATTGACTTCTTCTTTTTCTTTGTTTTCATTTTCTTTTGATCGATGTTTTCCTCTGGTTAAGATTATCATAAAACAATGAGTGAGGTTGACAATCAAAATCATATCTTTTAACTTCGTTGAAAGAGATGTATATTATACACTTAGTATTTTCTCTAAGCAAAAACAACAAAAAAGAGAAAAAAAAATGCTATAATATCAAAGCGTACATACAAAGCACAAAATATTGATGAAATGATACATTTCATAAGCACCGGTTAGAGTATGCCGTTAGTAATGATCACGTAAAGATCATTTTATACGTGGCCATTATTAATCATCATTTGTACACTAAAAAAAAAGTAATTTGTATACGTGTGTTTGTATTAACCAATATTTTTTTGACTACTATACATTGGTTTAATGTCAATCAATGTCATACGCAATTTTTCACTCGTTAAACGTTCATTACGTAATGAAATTTTTGTTACAGTTGATGAATGATTTTTTAATACACCACCACTATTACTGGATATACGACGAGACATTTTTTTCTTTGGACTATGTTGTTGAGGAATGCTATTTGGTGATAAGTTTTTATTTATGGATAAGTTTGTTGATGAACTACTATGAGATAATGTGGGAGAATTTGAATTACTGCATACACTTCCATATCCATTTGGTATTGTTGTTGTTATTGTCATTGGATCTGACGATTGATGATGATGATGAATATTTTCATTTCTACTATTTAATTCAGATGCCCAAACATCTTGTGGCCATCCTGTGCGACCTCTGCTTTTTCTCGGTGATAAATCACTATCATACTAGAATGAAACAAAATATAAAATTAGATGAATATTTTGTTCAATAATTTATTTCTTATTCCACCTTTTCTCTGATAGCAAAATGAATTTTCATTGAATCATCTCATTGTACATTAATCGTATTCAAAACATTCTAAGTAAGACCGAATGAACGTAAAGAGCGTTTCTGAGCAAGAATCCTTTTGATAAACATGTAAGCTTATTATCTATGCACCTTTTTTATATAGTAAATCCTCTTGTATATGGACATTTCTCGAAAGTGATCACCTCTTCATTATTCTGAGCACTTTGTAAAACTTCCAAAATGCATTTTTTGCTGGAAATTAATCTACTTTAAGTAGGCAACTCTGTAATGTGGGTACTTTTAAAATGTCCCGAAGATATCTACAACAGAGAGGATCAATTTCTACGCTTTAGTGCTGTCCTCAAACAACGAAGAACACTGAATATACGACAACTATTTCAAAAATCATTTTCTATTGTTAGAACGACAAGGATAATCAACATAGTAATGACATCAACTGTTAACTAAACATAATTATTGTCTGAAAACCGCGTTCTATATAATTCATGCAAACACAAAGAGATATTATATACTATTGATAATCGTAGACAGACAATTATTAGGTCTGAATACTTCGAATAGACCACTGACAACTACGGAAATAAATTGAATTTCTACGGCCAAAACTATCCTAAATTTTGTTTAAAATGTCTGTATAATCCTTTGTATTCATCAACATCTTATCAACAACTTTTTTCTTAAAATTATGTTTCTAACCTTAATTTCTCGATGATCTTTTCGTGTTTTACTAATATCTGCTTTGAATGCTGATGGCATAATGCTTGGATCATCTTTCGATAATATATCCATTAAATATTCGATATATTTTGTTGCTAATTTTAATGTTTTTATTTTTGATAATTTTGTATCGGGTGGCACGTTTGGTATACATCCACGTAAGTCAGAAAATGCCGTGTTTATACTTTGTGTTCGACGTCGTTCTTTTTTATTTGCTGATACACGTCGTTTAAAACATCGTGGACCACCGTTTGGTGACCAAAGTGTATAATCATACGGATAAATTGGATATGAATCAGGATCGTGTGGAAATGGACCATCAAATTGAAAACTAGTATCAAAATCAGCTGGTGATTGATAATTGGATGACATGTAATTATTTAAATTGTTATTTGGTGATGAGTAAGATCGACTATTGCCATATGGATGGTATCGGACATCTGAACGAGGAGAATTGTAAACTAGAGGCTCTGAATTTGTCACAAAATATTCATTAAACATTATTATCTAAATATATAAAAAAATAGTACAATTTATCATCACATTTGATCAATTCATCGTAGTTAAACTAGAAGAAGTATTTCAAACTGTGCTACAGATTCCAGCTGAAAAACTTAAACTACTCAATATAGTTGTATACTTTTTATTCAATGCTGAATATGATTTATGATACAAACATGACTGTAAAACGATAATTTGTTGCGAAAAAAAACCCGATGTCTCATTAAAAAAACGTCCTTGTTTTTATTTTATGTATGTTATATGAGAAAAAAATCTCGTTTCATCTCATTTCAACTTACCAGATATTATGTCTTCAATTGGTTTTTTCCCTATGATTAATCGAATAGTTAATATTAAAAGTTGAAATAATTCATATTTTTTGGTTGTATAATATTTTCAAACAGTAATTAACTATTAACAGAGTTCGATTGTCAAAAAGTATCCGCGATGTATTAGCTCATTGAGATCTCACATAAAGAACGAACAAAAAAAAAAGCCAATAATTCTAGGTAAGAGCAAACTATTTCGTTTCTTTTTTTTCTCTCTCCAAAAGAAAAAATACGACTCTCATTTGATCTATATACATATTTTCTTGTTCTGTTCTAACATAAAAATTATCTGATTGGTTTCTATCCAATAGTAGATCCACTCACATTTCTCGTACATTTATTCATTTTTTTTCTCTCTTCGCGAAATATTTTCAATCATTAAGTAAGAAGTAAGAATATTTTTATTCTCTGATCAAAGTACAAGAAAAAAAAATAGAGAAAAAACTTAACTATAACAAATCAAAAATACAAAATGTTGGTAGACCAGGACTACATTTCGAAATTTGTTGTTAGATATTCAGAGGCTATAGTCCATCTCTGACACGTATCTATAAATCTCTCGTCAACTCTTCATTTTACTTTATACCTATTTTTATACATTTTGTAACTATGTATGCTTTAGGAGAATAAAGTTCAAAACTATCTTCTATATCGAGATTACTTTCAGTTTTTTTTTTTGAGAAAAAATATAATAGTCGCAGTAATGTTTATATCTAGGAACTTAAAAAAAAACAAAACTAACCAAATAAATCTTTGAAGTTATATTATAGTCAGTCATTCAACATTTTTAGCAATTACTTAGCGTAATAAGAAGTTTAATTCTAAGATGATTTGATTAATAAAATACGCATTTGTGAAATTGGTATTTTCCTCTTTATGTTGTTGTGAATTAACGGTTAATAACTTAGGAAACCAAAATAACTGGATGATTCTGTCTATTCCCATCTGACGATTTAGAGACAATATTCCACCGTACCACGTGTGACGCCCGATATGTCATTAGCAGAAAACTTGGGAAATTTAGAAATATTGAAAACAGAGTACCCAAATGTTTCTAGGGCTATGTGTAGAGCTATGAAAAAGACACCAACTACTAAAATACTGAATGAACTCAGTTGGTATACTCCTGATGACATCATAAGATTATGAAAGGAAAGGCGCTCAAATATACGAAAGACGTCGTAAAAAAATTAACTAATGTGAGCGTGTATGCACTATGCGGTAGCAACAGAAGATTAGTTCCTATTCTACGTATTAAACAGAGGTGGGCGAAGTACTCGAGTACGATTTTGCTGATACTCGTACTCGTACTCGTACTCGGGAGGTCAGTACTCGTGCTGGTACTCGTACTCGAGGGGTCAGTACTCGTGCTCGTACTCGAAGGATAAGTACTCGTATCAAAGAGGGTATTGAAATGTTTACATCAAGATGCCTATCAAAACAAATAATATTAACGGTGTTTTCCTCCATAAAACCACTTAATTGATTGATTTCAACGTTAAAACCAACATTTATTCATTTTTCTTGAAAGAAATAACATTTTTTGTATGAATTCTACAGTTACACTAGGCGAAGTACTCGTACTCGAGTACGATTATGCTGATACTCGTACTCGTATTTGTACTCGAAGGGTTAGTACTCGTACTCGTACTCGAAAAAGTCCGTACTTGCCCACCTCTGGTATTAAACTTATTTTTAGTTCATCTCTATATTCTGCAACTAGAGAATATAATTCATTATTATTGTAACTAAATTGATCATGTCTATCAAAAATTTTAAAGAGAAGATATTACAGAAAAAAAGTTATTATATTCAACTAATGCAAGCTACGATACTGATACCAGCTACTACCGTTGTAGAGTTAGTTTTTCACAGGTGAGTGATGATTTATTCCAGAAAAATATAGTCATTTACTTATTCTGTTCTTTTTGTTGATAATATGATAAGGGAATCATACTTAACTTTAATTTCGTTTTTCTCGTAGAATTTTATTTTATTTTAAAACAAAATAAAATTCTACGAGAAAAACGAAATTAAAGTTAAGTATGATTCCCTTATCATATTATCAACAAAATTAACACTGCCTCGTATCAAAGTTACTTTACACATTCTCGTATTGTGGTCGCAAAATTTTCCTGTTCTTGTGACAAGGTCTCGACTAGGCATGCAACAATCCGATAGTTCGGTGACCGAACGTGTTCGGCCTGGAAACTTGATGCGACCGAACTTGCTCGGACGAAGATTGCAAATACGATAGTTTACATTTTTCTCATTGAAGATATCGCTACGACTACGGCGTAATCATGGCTGCTCCTTTGTATGGTGTAATCTTCACCATTTTTTCTGTTTTACACAGATTTCTTTTATGTGTTTTTTCGCTCTCACGTTCTTAGCTTTGACAAACTAGTTTTTTAAACCTTTGGTAGGGAACCATTCGCTCACGTTGTACTTTAGTTAGCCTATTTTCTCACTGGTTAGTTCCTTCAAAAACTTAAATTTCATCCCGTTTGTCTTTAGTCCAGACTATGCATCCAACAATCCCAAGCTAGGGCTCACTGATCGGTAGCGAACATGTTAGGTTACGAACCGTTCGGTGCCGATCAGCAAGCCCTGGCTTGGAATTGTCGCATGCCTAGTATCGACCGGGACATTTGAACACTATTTATGAGAATGTCTGTTGCTTTTTGTTTAATAGCAAACTCTGAGAGATGCGACACTACTACAGAACAAGTACAAGACGATTCCCTATCATTAGCTGATTTTATTTTTAAGATCATACATTCTCTTTCGTACATCCTCTTTCGTCCCCCAATTCTTTTTTGGTTGTTTTTAGAAAAAATGTTTTTTGTGCACGACTTTCTAACTAATGAAATAAAATAAAAACAGATTTGTGCACGATTTTTCATCGAATAAAAGATATTTTCGCTTTACTTGCAGATGACCTAAACATATAAGATGATCTATGAACAGATGTCTTGTTTAATACAAACGTCCATATACTTTTTCCAGCGTATTTAGTGGCGGAAATGTATAATAAATTTTGAAAATTGATCTAAAGTGTGTACTAATAGTTGTTTTCGAAGTCTATCTGATGAATCATCTCTTTGAGAACCAATTCAATCCACACAATTTACAATACACTCTAAATATTTCTTCTTTAAACAAAATCATGTGAAGAAAAGTTTGGAGTTCTTTTAAGAAATGTTTACAAAAAAAAGATGTTTTGGATGTTCATTTAAATCATAATAAAGTATCAAAATTATCGAACGGAAAATGTAAAAAATGGCACTAAAGTTATATATCGTTGTTCGTCACGTAGAAATATCTAGATTTCAAGTTCGTATATTATTTAATTCTTAAAATAAAATAATTATGTCGGCAAATGATACATATAATCATGACAAAAAAGTTGATACAACTCATTTTTCAAAAAATGTGCAAATTTGTGCTTTTCCCGTGCATCTTTCTGTAACGATACACAAAAATGTCAAAAGATTTTTTAGTGCTTAGAAAACAGCAAACCGTACACAGGAAAATCTCCGCCCTTTTTTTGTCTATGCACTTATAGATCTTTGGATTTATACATAGAGTACATGTTTCTTTATTTTAATTTTTTTCAAATAAGCGAAGTTTAAATTAGTTTTCTTGCACATGCACAACCGCAATGTTTGCCATTTTCCAGATAGCACTAAAAAATTTTTTGACATTTTT